TAACATCAGCAACAGCAGCCTGTCAACACTGAACACAGACGAACACTAGATCAGGACAGATTCTGTAACATCAGCAACAGCAGCCTGTCAACACTGAACACAGACGAACACTAGATCAGGACAGATTCTGTAACATCAGCAACAGCAGCCTGTCAACACTGAACACAGACGAACACTAGATCAGGACAGATTCTGTAACATCAGCAACAGCAGCCTGTCAACACTGAACACAGACGAACACTAGATCAGGACAGATTCTGTAACATCAGCAACAGCAGCCTGTCAACATCAGCAACAGCCTTAAAGCAGCTTTAGAAAATGTAAACTATTTAGGGCCAGTTTTACTAAACGGCAAATTAGCTAAGAGCGCAATTCCAAAACAGCGCAGATGGGCGTGGAAATTTCTGTGGGTGATTTACTAACAATGCGCAAATTAAAGAACACAGACACATCATCTCATTTACATATCGACCAACGCAATATACCAAGTGCAGCGCAAATTAGAGCAGTCGCAAATAAAGAAATAAAGAAGCCACAGTACGCTGGGTTGCAAGAAGTTTTGATAGACCTGTAATTGCTTGACTCCTAGTTGAGGATTTCAAGTCGTCTTTTATTTCCTGAAGCAAATTAAAAAATAGCATGTCTTGGCAAACGATATGATCGGATAATGTGTTTAATACGTGTGGAAAAATTCCTCTCCCTTCTACCCTTTTCTCTGTTCTCTGCTGTGCCTCCTCATGACAACAATAATTGCTGCCATTTCAAGCGCAAAGCAGTTAAAGACATGCTTTTTTTCGGTGTTAAATAATGGTGCAAATACTAGTAATTTGAGGAGCGCAAACGTTAGTAAATGTCATTGCGTGATTCATTTGGATACTCTCCACCCATATATTTTGCCTCTGAAAAGGAACCATTAACGTCTAGAAGGCTTGCCACATTAACGTTCAGAGAGCTCCTACAAATGCATATTCAATAAGGTCAGGCACAAAAATAACTGTGTCCACTCATTTTCAGCGCCAATTCTTCACTGCACATCTTTAGTTAAACCTGACAGTACTATTTTTACGGCAAAAGACAGCTGGCGCTGTTTGTAAAACTGACCCTAGTATGAATGGGAATCTTACGGAATTCTATTATTCTGAAGGCTCTTAATGATTCTAGATGTGATAATTGTTTCCTTCATAATTACATTTTTCAGAACTTTTGAGATAGAAAGTAAAACAGAGCTCCCATAAATGCAAACCAATAACTGACCTAAAATTATTATTAAAATACTACTAATAAAACAATATGCCTTTAATAAGTTAAAACATAATTCAATGCTACTTCAAGGCTTGTAGTAGACATCACCCAGAAAGCTACTGAATGAAACACAGACAGACCTGCGACAGAGAAACAGAATAATAGAGCTAGAGAGAAAAGCAGTGAGACCTGAGGTGGGAGAGGTGTGTGAAGAGAGGCAGAATGCTCTGCAGCTCTTCCTCTGGTATGGAGGTCCACCGTAGATTGAGTGAAGCTGCAGTGCAGTGCTGCAGTGTGAAGCGCAGGGCCACACAGTCAACAGAGTCCAGATCTCTGCTCTGCAGGTTAATGTAGTTCTTCACTGAACTCAACAGACTGGACACAAACCCAGCAGAGCCGGACTCATAGATCTCTCTGATTGCACACAGCATGAAGGCAGAGCTCATCCTGTACAGACATATTTTTCATTATTAAATCATTATACATTTTTTATCATACTATTCAGTTTGTTTTTATGTGCAAAAATGAAAAGCAATACATTTTACATGCATATTTTGTGAAAACAATAATTGTCTACCGTTTAAACTTAATCCGGTTCAGGAATGGCAGAATTTCTCTAATGTTGACCTGAATGTTGCTCTTTCTGAGGTTCACAGTGATTTGCTGAATTCTGTGCTGCAGGAAATAATGTAGCTCTTCCCAGCTCAAGGAACAGGAAGTCAGATCCCCGCCCACTTTCTGCAGGAAGCTTTGAGTTAGTTCCTCTTCCTGAGCTTCATAGACACATTCAACAAGCTTCTGGAGAGTCACTTTAGACAGTCTACACAAACACACACACACACACACACACACACACACACACACAAAGAGTTCATTATATTTATATATTGTTATTGTAGATATAAAATCAAACACTTGAAATGTGTCCTACAGTCAGACCTGAGAGTCACTGCTCCCTGGTGACACAGTAGGACAGACACAGAAACAGACTGAATCTTGTGTCCAATCAAGTTCAAACACTGGACAGTCCAGAATCTCAGAAGGATGGCCAAGCTGCTCAGGACTCTGGACAGATTCCTCTCTGACTGCTGTTCCTCATTCAGATCAAGTGTGATCTCATTAACAGTGATGGGAGCTGGAACCTTCATAGACCTCAATGCCTGCACTACTCTCACCACCATATAACCACTCAGCCTGAAAAACAACAACAACACACTGTTTGATGAAACGAATCAAACAAACAAATAGCATTTAAAATGTTAAAGGCACAATACGTAAGATATTTGCAATAAATATCCAAAAACCTCTAGATATTTTGTTAACCTGTGTGCTTACATTATGCTAAAAGTTTCCAACAATGTCTAAATCCAGAGAAATTCACAATTTTAAGTAGTTAAATGGTCCATGTCTTCGTGTCACATGTCAGTGGGGTAATTTCCCGCTATTCTCGGTTGTTAGTAGAAACCATGGAATCACGGTGTGTTTCTTGAAAAAATGTGGAAGATGTAGTGGTAGCGCCAAAGCCAACAATCTCTGGTAGCATCTAGCAAGCCACAGCTGTTTGTTTTACACATTCACGATGTGCTACAATTATGCATGATCACTGGCTAAGGGTTCTGTCGCCAAAAATAACCCCATAAAATGAAAACGGCTGTGGAGGTGAACACGACAAATCCCATGATTCCAGCTACATCTTTGATAAATCTTTCATAAATGATTTATAGGAGTGAAACTTACATATTGTGCCTTGAAGTGAATTTATAATGCTGTCTGTACCTGAGTGTGTGTATGTTTGTGATGTGTCTGAAGAGAAGCCGGGTTCCTCTGACAGAGACAGCTGTAGGTTTTAGAGTGAGGTCGAGTCTGTCAGAAGAGAAACGTAAGAATCTCCCCACAGACCTGCAGGTTTTGCTGGGTAAATGACTTTCCAAACTGAGGGAGAAGCCAAGAGCCTCAAACAGTGAAGTCACCAGCTCTGGATTCTCTCTTAACTGGACCGCTTTAACTAGAGTTAACAAACACTTCTCAGAACAGCTGAAAAACACAATAAATACTTGATTACAATCACTACATAACTCAACATGACCCATTATACAATTGGAAAAATAAATTAACAATTTATGAGCAAAATCTAAAAAGACTCATTAAGAACTTAAACATGTTCAAATTTATAACAAAAACTTTGTCAAGTTTTAGTTGTAGGATTGTGGGGACTGAAGTGTAGAATTCAATGGCCTGTATTATAATACACAACAAGGCAAGACAAGGCAGGGCAGGGCAGAGATGGGCTGGATACAGCAGGGAAGACCAAAACACGCAGGGAGAACATACGGACACATTAGATGACAGTCAGACACAGAAGAGAGAACAGAAGGACACAAACGAGAAGGATAATGAGGGAGAACAGGTGAGGTAAATGAACAGCCTGAGGACTCCAAAGCCACACTTAAAGACAAGACAATATATGAGTGTCACAAAACAAAGACCAACCTCAGCTGTGAGATGTGTTGCAGACACTGAAGGAAACTCTTCACTTCACTCTCTTCCTCTGAACATCTTCTCAGCTTTACTGGTTTCTTCTCTGTCTGGAGCTTCAGCACTTCCAGGAGGACGGAGCTCTTTCTCGCTGAGAGATCTATGATCCAGACATCAGGTGACTGGAAAACTGACTGTAATGCTGGAAGATAACTCCTGCCTGTTTGAGTCTCATAGTTCTTCACACGAGAGCACAGATCCAGCAGGAAATCACTCTGATCATCACCATCTTCATCCTCTTCATCAAAAGGGAAGGTTTTGTAGCTGCACAGAGATGACAGCAGAGTCGAGAATCTTGTTCCTGCATCTTTGTCAGTTTCTACTGCAGCAACACAGAGATTCAGCAGGAATCTTACTGTAGACATCCTTTCTTCTTTATTATAAATGCCCCAGAACCTGATAATATACAATCAAGAACCAAACACTTCATTAATTTGAGATAACTTGCATCACTTAATACACTTCTTCACATCAAACACAAATAAATAATTCAACAAGAAGACTCAGGGATCTGATTTGATAATGTTTTAGCTGAAATGCAGAGCAATGGGATGTTATTTGTGCAAAGTCTGTGGGTATGAAAGAGAAAGATGGGGCCTTAAGACCTGTTCACACCAAGGACAGTAACTACGTTTTAATAATCGTTTTCATTCTATGAGAAAAGGTAAGTCCATACCATAGCTATAACAACAGCAACACAGAGGAACAATATCATTAGAATGATTTGTTTTTTTAGTCGTTGTTCAGTCTGTATTTCACACAGCATGATGAGAAACAGTTTGGTCTAATACAAGAGAGCTAATATCTTGAAGCAAAGTACACACTAAATGAATAATTTACAGAAATCTGGACACGAGTCACTATTTTCTCCATCATCTCTGATGTTTTAACCTCATCCGTCCCTCCAGAACCTATAACAAAAGTGTCCCTCGCGGGTCAAAATGACCCGAACGCCAAACATTACTCACATTATTTTGGTCCAGAAATCTTATATTGGTCCATTTTTCTACTTTTATTTTTTTTTTCTTCTTTTTTTTTTTTGTATGTAGATTTTTTTAAATATTGTATTTCGTTCACATTAAATTTTGGATATTCTTATGAAAATTAGCATATTTTTATACATTTTTCGCCAAAAAACAAAACAAAACCAGGAAAGACACAATTTCTGCATATTTATACTTTAAACATGATGATCCATCAGGACCTAGGTCACTGAGTGTCTCTGATGACATCTGGTGGGGAAAAATTACATAAAATTGCATATTATGATTACAGCCACTAGAGGGGCCTATTGAATCATCTCCTTGATGGCGAGGAACCATTTGGCAATTTAAAACCCCTATACAAACGTAACATCTCTGACCAGAACTGTAATTTATATGCAAATGTCAAAAGGCTAAAAGGGGTCTCTTAAGCCATAAACACCCAAAGATCATGCATGATTCTACGTAGACACTACAATCCTATGGAGATTCTTAAATGAGCCAAACAAGTGACATTTTTAAAACTACACCAACTTGAGGCTTCATTCCGCTTTCAGATATATCTCAAGGCTTTCAGATATACTGTATATCAAAACATTAAAAAAAACCTTCTCAGGTTACTTATGTAACCATGGTTCCCCAGTAGGGAACGAGACATTGCGTCCTCTAGCTTTCGTTATGGGGAACGCCTCGTCGTGACCCGTGTCTGAAGCATACATTGAAAAAACACCAACTCGTTGGCCGGCGACGTCACTACCGGTGCGACTATTAGTATAAATAGGTGCCGGGAGAACACATCATCCTCTTCTTCGTATGAATCTTGCATTTTATTAAACCCACATAGAATCCTCGAATTGACTCAGTTTTTTTGTGTGTGTTCCATGCTCAAGTGTGACAAAATTAAATAAATAACAAATCTGCACTTTTTTAGTAAATTCCATGCTTTTCCAGTGGCGGGTCAAAATGTCCCGCGAGGGATACTTTTTATATAACACCCACTTAAACTGCTCGAATTCACTGGAATTTTTTTTCCCGTGTATTCCCGGTTCAAGTGTAACAAAAGTAACACTCTCATACCATAACGATAAACGCTTGAGTTTTTAAAAAATCTTTAAAAATGAGTTTCAGGTCAAAATGACCCGAGGGACGGATGAGGGTTTTAATCTGACTGCTTGAATGCATTCGCTTACTGGATCCCTGATGATAAACTGTACAGGAGTTCAAATGATCTGATCACAGAAGAACAGAAACATGATGAGGTCTCTTGTTGAAAACCCTGCTTCTTTTTGCTTTTATTTCCATGATAATACACTGAATGAAATTATAAATCATTAATTCATTTATTTTTACCCCTCTGCGTACATTTGACATGCTCTGGCTCTGGGGAAGTGCCTCCCACACTTTGAAAACTCCTAAATTAAATTAAACGATAGAGAATGTGAATATAATCTCATATTGATGACTGACACACACCATCATGACTATAGTGTTAACTGTTAACTGTTATTGTCAGCTACATCATTTACAGTGGTGGAGGTAAGGAATTACAACTACTCACGTCGGGTACTTGTACTTTTTATATATTTTTAAAGCTGTACTTTTACTTGTACTTAAGTACAAATTAAGTAAAATAATCTACTTCCTTACTTTTAAATCATAGTTCGCTACTGAGTACGCCCACAATTTTAATTGATATCCAAAACATTGACGGCACTTCAGTAGCTAATAAAAATAAGATAAAGACATCCGATCGTAAAGGGACCAATAACAGCCCTGATATCTGAAGCGGGAAAAGCCGCCGCTGCAGCAGGTGAAGAGCTGATCAGACAGTGAGGGAGCTCAGCGTCATTTATGGACTCAAAGTTTGGAGAAACAAACTACATGGTAGTGTTATCATAAATGAGCAAGATCACTGGAGTACTCGAGCGATACCGGCTCTATATCAGCACGGCTGTGATTAGGCCAGAGGCACGAGGCCGCTGATAGAGCCGGTATCGCTCGAGTACGAGAGTGATATTGCATTTATACAACAGTTTGACGGAACATGTGTGTAATTAAACAAGAAACAACGGAGCGCCTAATAAAACCCTCTTTCGTGCGGAACTACTTCCTTCCGCCACGGATTCAATGCTCAAGTTGACAGTTAAACATACGTCACTTTTAGAATCTGTATCAAGGGCATGTGCTGCTTCAGTTAGGTTATTAGTGAGGAATAATGAGGTTATAAGAGAGAAACAATATTAACTAACGTACTCTACGATTCGCTCAGTGAATAATAATAAAAAAGAAAACATAGACCCGGCTAGAACAGGCGGAGTGATACAAAATTGTGAAAGGGCGTTCCACAATATCTCACGGTTCTCAACCAATCAGATTTGAGAACCAGAACGAACTGTTGTATAAATATCTATATTATGATACCGATACTGAAATATCTGACACAGTACTCATTTTCCACAGTATCTACCGAATATACACTGATACAAGCTGTGTCTCTCTCTCCTCTCCGACAGTGAGTTTGACACGCATCTGCCTCCTGTCAGTTACAGAGTCTGAATATCCGCCAGATTGCAGGTATCCCGCATAATTTTAATAATCCCTGCGCAAATGTGGCGAGCTCTTTATTGTAACTTGAGAACAGTCATGTAATCGCAGAAAACTGGATGCGAGCTCTCAGATAGGCCTAACTTATACAAATGAACTGCTTGTGCGCAGACTGTGTGCAATCGCGATCTCTCCACGCTTTTAAAGTAGAAATTATTTCTCTTTGCTCCTGAATTAAACTTTGTCAAAAGTTATCAGAATAAATCCACACCTGACCGATGAAAAGCCTACCGGAAATTTGATTGGCTGTAAGTGAAACCAGAAAGTCTTTCAACAATCAAAGATGGAACTTTAATTTCTTTACAATGTAAGTTTATGCTAGAAATGTTTATGAATGGGATATTTGTATGATTTGTGCATATACATATCCTAGTCTGCCTAACTGCATCACTACATTGTACAGACATTACAGGTCAAAGCCATCTGATGATCCATTTATCTCAACAAATAACATATGGCTCTTAAAACACCGTCTATAAAAATTCAGTGGTGTCATTTCAAATACCTCTACTGAATTGAGGTCATTTGTTTTATAATTTTATTACTGACTGCTTGTATTTTTTTGTAAATACAATTCAGTTTGAAATCAAAGTTGAAATCAAGCTTTCTTGTGCTGTAAGCTTTTGCAGCAAAGTTACCCTATTTTAAAGACACAGATACACAGAATGAGCAAATGTTTAAGACTGAGATTTTTGTAATGGTAATTGATCAATATTTCTATGCATGCAAGTAAAATTGTTTATCATATACAGTGAACATGTCTTTTTAGAAGACTTGGATGAAACCACTCAAAGCTTGAAATAATAATTGCCTTAAAAATGGATGGACAAAAAAAAATTGAGATATTAAAATATCTATATGGCAGTACACAGTATGTGGTAGTTTTGATTGTTGAAAAATTTGTCATGAAATCAAAAATGGCCCTACTTACTTTTTAGTGCACATTACTAGTCTTGTGGTGAACAATTAAACCGTGCAAGTCAATACACTGAGAAAAAGAATTGTCTGCCGTCGTAATCGTTAATCAAAAACTGAAAATGGGCTTCCGCTCTGGAATGGCGTTCTAGCTCTGATGACGGCTTCAGGAGAATCCTCTTGTTAAGTCATGACGTAAGGACTGCTGTTTCTGGGTCCATGCCTCTACTCATTTCACTTGAGAATACCATCTCAACAGCTTAAATATGTCATATTAATGAAATAGTGCTCATAAATGGCTAAGCATTTAAAAATTTGCTGTGCACACTACAGTCTCTGTGCTCACTACAGTCTCCGTGCTCACAGTGTCTCAGACAGTAATATTTTAGCTGAATCACTGTCTGGCATCTGGGATTTCAGTATGGAGATAAAGGTTAGGGTTATCATTTTTCAGTATTACATGACATCGTGGGTGTATATTAGCACAGTTTGTTGTTTTTTGGGGGCGTCTGGCAGAGCGTTAGGACCCAGAAGCAGTGAAGCGTAATGTCAGACGTAACAAGTATTCAACCGTGAATCTGCTGAGCAAGAGGTGGAGAGGAGGTGCACCACAATAAAACCTCGCCCTTTATTCAATAATCCGTTTCACTCGGAAATACATCACAACACTGAAGTCAGTTGCAGCTTCCGGTTCACGGGTACTTTACTATTGATATTTTTCAAGGTATTGAAGTTAGAAATTCCTGCATCATAACCACTAATTCACATACTTTGTCAATAAGATAAAAGTGGGTTTTGTTCAAAGTAGCTATTATCCACATACATCTTTGATATGAATGAATATTTTTTGGTAATTCATCAAATATCACCAGCTAAAAGTAACTAGTACTTTGAGTAGTTTTTGAGAAGAGTAATTTGTACTTTTACTTAAGTACTGTTTTGACACCAGTACTTTTACTTGTAATTGAGTATTAGTACAGATTTTCAGTTCTCTTTCCACCACTGATCATTTAGCACATGTACTTTAGCAGCATCCACTGGTTGAATCTACAAGGAGGCCCCATAAATGCACCCATAATTTGTGCTCAAACATCTACAGATATGATGAGTATTCAGACCCTCGGCCAGCTGTATCTCACCCTGCACAAAAACTGAGCTTAGATTTAGTTTAGAATGGTCAGAATGCATCACTCTATAGCTAACACTGAAACAAAACACAGCCCCTAATCTAAAGACCCTCATTAAAACAAAAAAAAATGTACAAGTATATGCAGAAATCATATTTCACAATAACTGTAAGTAGCCAGAGATTTTCTCACCTCAGCTGTGAGATGTGTTGCAGACACTGAAGGAAACTCATCACTTCACTCTCTTCCTCTGATAATCCTCTCAGCACTACTGGTTTCTTCTCTGTCTGGAGCTTCAGCACTTCCAGGAGGACGGAGCTCTTTCTCTGTGAGAGATCTATGATCCAGACATCAGGTAACTGGAAAACTGACTGTAATGCTGGAAGATAACTCCTGCCTGTTTGAGTCTCATAGTTCTTCACATGTGAGCAAAGATCCAGCAGAGCATTGCATTTTTCTGGGTCGTATTGTCCTCTCACCTCAAAAAGTTTGCAGTCGCACTGAGAAGATTTATGCAAGAATTCTACAAAGAATTTGATTTGCTTCAGCGGTTCTTTACAAGTGTTTAACCTGCAACAAAGAAATCAAACATAAGAGCATGTACTGATTGACTTGATTTATTTTTTTTAGGATTATGCCCACCAGACAATGCTAAGATATGTCTAGGGGTTATGGATGCTAATTGCAGCTGTCCATTTAACAGGGTAACTCTTCTTAAGGTGAATTCCCATCCCTCGTGAAAACGAGATAGAACTATGAAACTCAGAACTCCGTTAACAGACTTTCCTTCCTCTGAACTGTATGTTTGTGTGTTTTAGCTTAAGTTTATGTGATCTAGAATAGCCAATAAATTTCATGTTTCATTTATAAGTAAGCAATTGTCTGGTGTCAGATAATTTTGTGTCAACTCTATTGCCAAAAGATCCTTGCTTGCTACCTAGCTCGTAGCTTACGCATAATAATTACCTCTCTTTCAAGAGCTGACAAATCATCAAATTTTGTATTTCACCCGTGGCCAGGGAGAATACAAAATTTACATATTCAATTGGTAATATACACTGACATCAGCGTCTCGCTGGCCGAGTAGCTGATAAAAGTATAAACTATTGAAAGTCAAAGTCAGTTTTGATCAGGTGGACCTCAAATTCTCAGATCGAGTTCTTTTAAAACCTGAGCTAGAAATAAACCTGAATGAATTAATAATGATTAATTCCCTTACAACTAAGTAAATTATTACACCATAACTCACTGACCTGCCTACGCTCACACAAGATGAGAGAGACAGACTGACCACTGAACACACACGGGAGTAAATAGAGGCTTGTTTGAGATGAGCGAAATGTGCAGAACCAATTACAGCCAGATGCATGCATGCACATCACAGACACATTTTTGGGACACGGCCAGTCAGAGAAAAGTGGATCCTCTTCCTCCTCTGATCTGCATGTGATCACAATCTTGGCATTGGGCAGGAGCTCGTGCTTCATTATCTTCCATAAGATTAAATTTTCTTCCAAACCCATCACACAATCAAACACAATGACAACATTCTCAGAGTTTTTCTCAATATCTTGAAACACTTCTTTTCTGTCTTCATCCAATGGTAGTGAATACACATCAAACAAAAGAGCATCCAAACTGGCAACACTATTGTGGGCCAAAACACTTTCATCAAAGTAAAACATGTAGTCTATCTGTCCGTCATCCTTCTCCGCCCAAAGTCGCAGCATTTCCTGGACAACTGTAGTCTTTCCTACTCCAGGTTTGCCGATGATGAGGATGCTTTTGTCGTGCCATCTCAGGAGCTCCTCAGGTGACCGTGCTTGTTCCTCGCTAGGAATGTAAGCGTTCAGCTTTTGGGGCCGTGGCTTTTTGCATTTTTTGTTTTTCAAATTTATTTGGCATTGAGGAGTTTTTACCTCAGAGTCGGTCTCTAAAACCAGAGGTATAAAACCTAAGTTTCCTTGTACCTTGTCATCCAGATGTTTACAGAAACATTTCCTTTGGTTCTTCAAGATACTTTTTGCTTTCGTCTTGAGCTGTGTCTGGTAGTTTTTACAAGGCTTTGTACCTAAAATAGCAACAAATGCATAAAAAAATATTGAAATATGTTAAATGTGTTAATTTTAGGGATGCACCAATACCACTTTTTCCAGTACTCGCCCGATACGATACTTTTATTTTTGGTACTTGCCGATACCGAGTACCGATACCGATATTTTTATTGCATTTGTACTTTTTTTAAATATTAGGTACAGAAACCAAAAGGGTATGTATAATGTTAGTTGGTTAACTTCATTTATCAAATAGATACAGTCAAACCAAAATTTGTTCAGACACCTTCAACATTTCTCACATTAACAGTTTATTCGCTATAGTTTAGAAAATGGTAATATGCTTTCGTCTTGAGCCGTGTCTGGTAGTTTTTACAAGGCTTTGTACCTAATGCATAAAAAAATATTGAAATATGTTAAATGTGTTAATTTCACCAAAATGATATTTTATTTCTCTACTCACCAGTTGAATAGCTGGCCTCTGCGTCTTCTTCTTTGAAGGAAAAGCAGCTGATCCAGTAGTGTAAACCAGGATCTAATGTCCTCTTCTTAGTGACATCCAGAATCCTGAGTAATTCATAACTGGCCTCTTCACCTTTGTTAGTAACCCAATCCAATATACTTCTGGCTTTCTCAAACTCGGAGCTCTCGGCTTTGAGAGCATCGACCTCATAGACACTGAAAACCTTCTTCTGATGAAGACTCTCAATGATCAGAGGAAGGTTTTTCATGCCAGTCACCAGGTCTTTCCAGTTGTTTCTGAGGTACTCTTTAGCAGATCGCTGTGCAGACGCCATGCTGCAGGAATTTCAAACCTGAAGTAAAAGACATACGTTTAAGCCCATTGACATCATGCATTTAAATGATATTGATTATTTCACACTTTAATTCACATTTAATATTTTACACGATTTTAAGATGTGAACAAAAGACTCCCTAAGGTCACTAGCCTAAATCCATCATACGGAGGTAGGTACACAAAATAAACATTATGAATATAAATAAAGCTGCATAGTCTGCCCTGGTGGTGGTGGTGGGGGGGTGGAATAGAAACCATCAAAGAGTTTGTAATGGTTTCACTGGTTATAATGGGAATCATCTTGGTTTTATTAGAAACTACTGGTAATAGTTAACCTTTTATTGGTGACTTGTTAAAACCACTTTAATTATGGAGGACCAAACCTGCAGAAATTAAAAATAAAGAAATAAATAACAGGAAAATAAATACATACGTGAAAAAAAAAACAAATATAATTCACTTGAAATTAAAACTTAATCCTGAATTATTTTTTATTACTCTTTTCATTTATGTAGTATTTTCTGTCTTTATTTGTAATTTATTATTTACTTATTTCATTTAAGTTTAGATTTATTTAGGCTATGTATTTATTAATTAATTTATTTTTAAAATGTATTTATTCATGCATTTATTGATGTTTTAATATTTATTAATTCCCCCATGTAATTATTTCCAGATTTATTTATTTATTTTTGCAATATTTGTTTTTATCAAGTCATTTATTTTTGTCTTTATTTTCGTGTTATTTATTTATATTTTCTGCAGGTTTGGACTTCCATACTTAATAGAATATGTCCCAAAACACAGAGGAAACCATTTTTTAATGGTTTTAAAAGTTGATGGTTTGATGATGTTTGTAATGGTATTAGTAGTGGAAACCATTAGCATTTATGTGATGGTTTCTATCGTTTCTTTCAGCAGGGCGATTGTTTTCTTTTGTTATTTAATTGTATCAACTCAGATTTCACATTCACAACGACTTCGAACCCGGAACTCCACTTTGAAAAATACGGTCATTCTAGCCGCCACGTTGTTTTGTGGTGCGCGCATAGACTAGGCGTTACGGTAATAGCGTGTAAACCTCAGATCAAGGGAAAAGCGTTCAAGCTCTCATGCGTTATCACTCTCGCCCTCTCTCACTCTCTCTCCTCTAATGCGTTATGTCTCTGGCTCTCTCTCTCCTCTCATGCCTAATGTCTCTCGCCCTCGCCCTCTCTCACTCTGTCTCTCTCTCCCCTCTCTTGCGTTCTGTCTCTGACACACTTTCTCCATCAATTAATGAATAAATGAATATTCTCCCCTCTCATGCGTTATGTCTCTGACATTCATTTATTGAGCCAGTTTCTCCATCAATGAATGAATGAATGAATGCATTTAAAATAATACAAATGTTTAAAAAACGGTCTGATAAAAATTAAATGTAGAATTTTCAAATAAAAAAAATAACTGTCTAATGCGAAATAACAAAATAAAACCATTTAATGATCTTGTATATAACCATATTTATCTGTAAATTCACATAGTTATAAAAAGAAAACTCCCTGTTTTCACAAAAAAAAATTCCCATTACAAAATAAAAGCCATCCAAAAACTCATATATGACCAGTTTTGTCTTTGATTTTGAATAGCTCTAAAAAGAAAACTCCCTGTTTCCACAGAACAATTTCAATTCAGATTGACAACCCACTACCCCAGGGTGTCACTCAGCCAGTTTCAGGACGATCTGATGTTGCATTACATAATAAAAGCCCTCCAAAATCTCATTCTACCTGTTCTGCGTGTGAATTTGGATAGCTCTAAAAA